CCCTTCCTAACTCCCTACCTACACTCACCTTTACTGGCTCCATCCCCACCTCTTCGACCTGTTTGTTTCCTCTCCACCTATCCTCCTCCCACTCTCTCCCTATTTATTTCAGAACCCCCTTCCCCTCCCCCTTTTCTGATGAAGGGTCTAGGCCCGAAACGTCAGCCTCTCTGCTCCTATGATGCTGCTTGGCCTGCTGTGTTCATCCAGCCCTGCACCTTGTTATCCTGGTAAACCTTTCCTGCACCCTCTCCGAAGCCTCCACATCCTTCCTGTAATGTGGCGACCAGAATTGAACACAATACTCTAAATGTGGCCAAACCAAAGTCTTATAGAGCTGCAACATGACATCCTGATTCTTGTACTCAACTCTCCGACCAATAAAGGCATGCATGCTATATGCCTTCTTTACCACCCTATCTACTTGCATGGCTACTTTCAAGGTACTATGGACTTCAACCCCAAGATCAATGGTGTTCACAGTCCTGCCAGTAACTGTATTGTTTTCTTTAACATTTGATCTCCCAAAGTGCAGCTTCTCTTACTTACCCAGATTAAACTCCATCTGCCATTTCTCTGCCTATATCTGCAATTGATCTATATCCTGCTGTATCCTGCAGGGGAGGGAATGGCCCAGTGGTATTATTGCTGGACTGTTAATCCAGACAGCCAGATAATGTTCTGGGGACCTGGGTTCAAATCCCGCTATGCCAGATGGTGGAATTTGAATTCAATAAATATCTGGAATTAAGAATCTAATGATGACTGTAAATACGTTGCCAATTGTCGGAAAAACCCATCTGGCTCACTTATGCCCTTTAGGGAAGGAAACTACCATCCTTACCTGGTCTGGCCTACACATGACTCCAGACCCACAGCAATGTGGTTGACTCTTAACTGCTGTCTCGGCAATAAATGCTGCCTAGCCAGTAACGCCCTCATCCCTTGATCCTTTGACAACCTCCTACACTATCTACAACTCCACCAATCTTTGTATCGTCTGTAAACTTACTAACCCACCCATCTATGTTTTCGTCTAAGTCATTTATATATATCACAAACAGCAGAGGTTCCAGTACAGATCCCAGTGGAACACTACTAGTTACGGACCTCCAGCCTGAAAAATACCCTTCTACCACTACCCTCTGTCTTCTATGGGCAACCAATTCTAAATTCACGCGGCCAAGTCACCATGGATCCCACGCATCTTAATCTCCTGGATGAGCCTACCATGAGGCACCTTGTTGAAAACCTTACTAAAATCCATATAAACAACATCCACTGTTTTACCCTCTTCAATCACCTTCATCACCTCTTCGAAAAATTCAATCAAGTTTGTAAGACATGACCTGCCCTGCACAAAGCCATGCTGATTGTCCCAAATTAAGCCATGCTTTTCCAAACGTGTGCAAATTCTATCCCTAAGAATTCTCTCCAATAGCTTCCCAACTACCAATGTGACACTCACTGTTCTGTAGTTTCCTGGATTATCTCTATTTCCCTTTTTGAACAGAGGAAAAACATTAGCTACTCACCAGTCCTCCACGACCTCTCTAGTGGTAAGTGAGGATACAAATATCTTGGTGAAGCCCCAGAAATCTCCTCTCATGCCTCTGTCAACAACCTGGGGTAAATACCATTGGGGCCTGGGGACTTATCCAACTTAATGCTCTTCAAGAGATCCAACACCACATCTTTCTTGATCTCGAACTGCCCTAGCTTAGTAGCATGCTCTACACAAATCTCACTATACTCCATATCCTTTCTTGGGCAAATACCAATATGAAGTACTCATTTAAGATTTCATGCATATTCCCTGCCTCCAAGCTAAAGTTTCCTCCTTTATGTTTGAGCAGTCCTACCTTCTCACTAGTTATCCTCTTGTTTTTAATGTATCTATAGAATGCCTTGGAATTCTCTTTAACCCCACTTACCAAGGTCATTCCATTGCCCTCATGAGCCCTGTCCGATTTTAGCTTCCTAAACTTTAGATAGGCTTCTTTTTCCCTTTTAATTAAATTCACAACCTCCCTCATTATCCAAAGGTCCCTTACAAAGAACAAAAGAGAAGTACAGCACAGGAACATCATGCCCTAACTAATCTAAAAAACAAACCTTTTGCCCTTATGTGGTCCATATCCCTCTATTCCCTCCCTATTCATGTGACCATCCAAGCACCTCTTAAATATCGCCAACGTGCCTGCTTCCACCACCTCTTCTGGCAGGGTGTTCCAGGCTGCTACCATTCTCCACGTGAAAAACTTGCCCCGCACATTTCCCTTAAACCTTCCCCCTCTCAGCTTGAACCTGTCCCCCTTTGTAATTAATTCAACCCTGGGAAAAAGCCTCTGACTATCCACCCTATCTATACCTCTCATAATTTTGTAGATCTTTATCAGGTCTGTTCTCAGCTGTGGTGTTTGCAGTGAAAACAACCCTAGTTTTTTTTTAAACCTTTCATCGTTGCCAATGCCCTCAAGGCCAGGCAACATCCTGGTGAACCTTCTGTGTACTCTTTCCAAAGCTTCCACATCCTCCTTGTAGTGTGGTGATCAAAACTGTACACAATACTCCAGATGCGGCTCAACAAGGGTTTTATATAGCTGCAACATGTTTTACCAACTCTGATACTCCATGCCCTGGCTGATGAAGGCAAGCATGCCATATGTCTTCTTAATCACCTTGGCCACCCATGTTGCCACTTTTAGGGAACTATGGTCCTGCATGCCCAGATTGTTAAAAATGTTAATGTTCCTAAGGGTTCTACATCACAGTTTGATTCACACCTAAATTTGATCCTCCAAAATGCATCACCTCGCATTTGTCTGGATTAAACTCCATCTGCCACTTCTGTGCCCAAGTCGCCAATCTATCTATACCCTGTTTTACCTTTTCACAATTGTCGGCACTATCAGCAACTCCACCAATTTTTGTGTCATTTGCAAACTTGCCATCCTTATCCTTCCTCCTTACTGGAACATGCTGGTCTTGAACTCTTCCCAGCAGGTCTTTTAACAGTTTCCACATGTTGAATGTGGACTTGCCTGATATCAGCTCCTGCCTAATACTGACGTAATTTGCCCTTCCCCAATTTAGTACCCTCCTGCAAGTTCCTGACTTATCCTCGTTCATATCTATCTTAAAACTTAAGGAGTTGTGATCAATCTTACCAAAATGCTCTCCCACTGAAAGGTCAATCACCTGGGTGGGCTCATTAGCTAATACATGGTCTCCAGTATGGCCCCTCCTCTAGTTGGACTATCCACATACTGCTTCAAGAAATCCTCTTGGATTTACTTAACAAATTCCACCCCATCTAAGCTTCTTGCTCTAAGGCAGTCTCAGTCAATACCAGGGAAGTTAAAGTCACCCGCTATGACAACTCTGTTTTTATTGCACCTTTCCATAATCTGCCTACATATTTGTTCCTCAATCTCTCGGTCCCTGTTGGGAGGCCTACAGTATAATCCAATCAGAGTGACTGCACCCATCTTATTTTTCAGCTCCACCCAAATTCAGTGCAATATCTTGCTAATGCTCCTTTGATAGTGCTTTCCAAACCCACTACCTCTATCACCTTGAAGAACAAGGTCAGCAGATACATGGGAACAACACCAGCTGCAATATCTCCTCCAACCCACTCACCATCCTGACACGGAAATATATCACTGTTCTTTTGCTGACACTAAGTCAAATTCCTGGAACTCACTCCCTAACATCTTTGTGTGGCTGTTTCTACATGACATGGACTGTAGCAGTTCAAGAAGATAGCCCACCATCGCCTTGTCCAGTGTAATTAGGGGTGAACAATAAATGCTGACTCAGCCAGTCTTGCTCACATTCCTTCAGCAAATAACATAACAGACCAACCCCCAACCCAACTCCCTACGTACACTGACCTGTACTGGTTTCATCCTCGCCTCCCTGACCTGTCCGTCTTCTCTCCATTTATCTGCTCCACTATCCACCTTCTATCATCGCCTCCCCCTCTTTCTATTTATTTCAGAATCCCCTTCCCCTCCCCCATTTCTGAAGAAGGGTCCAGACCTGAAACGTCAGCTTTCCTGCTCCTCTGATGCTACCTGGCCTGCTGTGTTCATTCAGCTCCACACCTTGTTATCTCAGACTCCAACAATGGCAGTTCCTACTATCTCTAACAAAAAGCTAAGTCCCCAAAATCAGGCAAATGGTAGGCCTTAGATTTTTATACCTTACACATGGAGAAATGGTGCCAACTTGAGTCAGTGCAATGAGCTTTCAGAATCAGATTACTGGCTCTAATGTAACGATGATATTAAATAATTGTACGATTCTTCAGCTTATTTTCCTTGTTAAAATTTCATTGATCCTCTTTTATTGTTAATATACATTATTTCTTCCCAGAGTTACACCTTAATTTCTGAATCAACCAAATACAGATAATCCTACTACATTGTATAATGGAGCTTGCTTTATATATTTGCACTATTCTCATTGATTGCCTGTCTGTATAGAAGTAGGCAGCTTTAGAAATTCCCTGAGAGTAGCTTGAGCAGATCCAGTGTGACATTTGGCTTTTTGCCTAATTCGCAGGATGGATGATTCAAATTGTCAATGCACTGCAGCATTTTAGCAGCCCTGCCAAAAAAAACAAATTTTTTTTTAAACATTAAAAGAAGTAAACATAGTTTAAGAACCATTCATCAAGATTCACATTTTCTTCTGAGCAGGAACAATCCCTCGGTTAGTAAATGGGGATGTTTTGCAATTCAGGTATTTAGCACTAATCACAATGCACAATTCACAATTTAGTACTTTTCTCTCAATAGATTCTGCCGCTTCAATATTAGAAAAATTGAATTCAAGCAATGTTGATGTAAGACAGCTGTTATAACAACATAGTGAAAATCTTTATGAAGAAAGCGTTATTAACTTTGCCACCATTATGATATTGCATGCATCAACGATCAGACAAGCACTTGCCTTTAAGAAAACTAAGTGATGATATCCATGTGACACCATGCCTTGTGATATTCTTGTTAAAGGGCTCATGAGTTCTGTGCAAAGTGGTTACTGATGATTAGGTGTGAAGGTGACATGAGGGCAGATTAAAAGGTATGGAGGGATATGGATGGGCCTTGTATGAATGAGTGGGGCAGGTGAGGGGTAAAGGCTATGGTGCTTAACATTCATGTTCAGAACTGGGCCAAAGTTCAAGTGAATGGAGACGGGCCATTTAACTGTCCACATTGGAAACTGCCACCTCTGTTCCTGCCAAGGGTCTGCATCAGAAAGCAGTGACCTCAACTCTAGCATGGTCCCACCACTCAGCTGTGAAAATTATGTGGATGGGTTCTGCCAAGCAGGATATGAGATCGAAGCAGCAGGAAATGGTCTGATTTGTAATATTTGTCTTGAGAAAGAAAATCCCAGCCTAAAAATTTCTACTTAAATTCAGTCCATATTTTCTCCTTGTCTAAAAGAAAAATTGATCTCCCTTCCTCAGGTCCAAAGTGGACGACCTCAGTCTTTTTTCCACATTGAACAATATTTTTCACAATTGCTCACTGCCTACTCACTGAATCGATTCAGGTTTCTTTGCAGCTATCAGCCCCTATCTACACTATATATTGTGTCATCTAACTTAGTGTCTTCAGTAAACTAGCGAGAAACAGCCCTCTATTCTTTCATTCAAATAATTTCTAAATATTGTGCAAAGCTGAGACAGCCTAGTACAGATTTCTGTGGGACACTGTTTGATAAATTCTACCAATTTCAATGCATAATCATTATATTTACTTCCGGTCTTCCGCCTCTGAAACAAATTATCTCACATGTCAACAGTGTTGTCTATCTCACTTTTGTTAACAGTCCCTAATGCATAATGCTGTTGAATGCCTTCTCACGTATATGGAAATAGCATCCTTAGATGCTGTCATATTTACCATGTTAGTTACTCTTCGAATATTTTGAACTAAACTTGTAAGACATGACTTGTTCATTGCAATTCTAAGCCACGTCTTTGATCAGATCATCAGATAAGGGGAGGCAATGGCCTCATGGTATTATCACTAGACTGTTAATCCAGAGACCTAGATAATCTTCTGGGGACCTGGGTTCAAATCCCACCATGGCAGATGGTGGGATTTGAATTCAATAAATATCTGGAATTAAGAGTCTAATGATGACCAGGAATCCATTGCTGATTGCCAGGAAAAACCCATCTGGTTCATTAATGTCCTTTAGGGAAGGAAACAGCCATCCTTACCTGGTCTGGCCTACATGTGACTCCAGACCCACAGTAATATGGTTGACTCTTAATTGCCCTCTGGGCAATAAATGCTGCCTGACCAGCGACACCCTCATCCTGTTAATGAACAAAGAATTTTCCCAAATGCTTTGTTCTTTCCCAAATTGAACAATATATGGGAATAATTCCTGAATTGGGTGTGGCTCAGAAGATTACAACTTCCTCATCTACTTATTTTAATAACTGGGGAGGAAACATCAAAACCAGGGGAATTGATCATGTTTAATACCACAATTTTGTCCACTATTATTTACTAACCAATATAGTTAGTTCATTCCCTTGATTTATTTTTAGGTTGCTTAGTATCTCTAATATTTTATACCAATCATCTACTATGAAATGTACACAAAATAATTGCATAGGGGGTCTGCCAGTCTTAATTTCCAATTACAATAACACCTATGATCATAATTAAAGATTACTCAGCCACACACTTTCTCTTAAAATGACGAGAAAGCAGAGATGGCAGGTCAGGTAGTGTTCAGGCTCCTGGCCCATCCACGCCCTTTTGGCTGGCCGGTTACATCCTTCCTTTTATTTTATTATTTCTTCTTATTATTCTTTCTTGATTTCACCTTTTGTGTCAAATAAATCTTTTCTTTGTTCTGCAGCTGAGGCGCGGCAGTTTCAGTTAGACTGTCCAGAGTCCTTTGTGGTTTCGGCAGGTCCCCGGTCAGCGGTGGATACAGTCAGGCCCAGGGCAGGGTTTCAATGGGCCCCAGGGCTTTGGCGGTTTTGGTCAGACCCTGGGTCAGCAGGCCCCAGTCCTTGGCAGTTGGACAAGCCCTGGTCTTCGTTAGTGTTCAGTTCAGGAAACCACAAGACCGTGGAATGAACAAAATATGATATTTGTCTTAACACTGTCTCAGCTTTTAAAAAATGATAATTTATGTAATTAAATGGCACCATATTTGTGGTGACTTATACACATTTAACTATACTTTCACAAATGCAAGTAGCAATGAACTTTATCTATCTATCTAATAGCTTTTAAAATGATGTACGTGGCAGAACATTTTGAAGCAGAATCTAGGAGTGTAACCAATTACTGCCCTTTGACTTCAGGCTGGATGTTTAGTGTCAGAGGTTTGCACTGATCCTCCAACAGAAATGATGGTAGAATCAGGTTTTGTTCTATTCTCTCGTCCCTCTCAGCTCCTCACAGAACCAAAGAGAAATTTAAGAATCAAAAAATATATACTATGCCAATATTAATAGCTGCTGCTTTTCCAGGCTGAAGTTTTGAAAAAAAACCTGTAACTTCAATTTGTGTCAGTTTTGAAGGTGATAATGGCATTGTGGTGATGTCACCCTGGCCAATACTATAGGGCACAGGTTCAAGTCCCAGCAAGGGCAACTGGCCAAATTTAAATTCAGTTCATAGTTGCGCTAGACAGGGTACAGAGGAGATCTACCAGGATGCTGCCTCAGCTGGACAGCATGAACTATGAGGGAAGATTGGATAGGCTGGGGTTGTCTTCCTTGGAGATGCAGAGGAACCTGATAAAGGAGTATAAAGTTATGAGGGGCCTAGATAGGAAGGCACGTTTCCATTAGTAGAGATTTCAATAACCAGGGGAGCATCGCTTTAAGGTAAGAGGGAGAAGGGTAAGAGGAGGTTTGAGGAGAAACTTTTCACACAGACAGTGATGGGAGCCTTGAGCTCTGTGTGAAAGGATGATCGAGTCAGAAAATGTTTTAACATTTGATCAGTATTTCTATATTCAGTTGCTATTGCCTCCAAGGCAGTGGGTAAAAAGCTGGAAAATGGGATTAGTGTAGTCAGATCTGTGTTGACATGAAAGGCTGAATGGCCTCCTTCTGTGCTGTAACCACTATGCATCTTGTCGTAATTTAGGTACAACTATAAGCAGATGCCCAGCCTTGTATATTCACTGATATGATCTATCCATAAAGGTGACAAAATATGATCTGCACATATTTGGTCACCAAATTTCTGAATGTTTTCTTGCCACATTTTCCTATAAATTTCAGAATTGGAACTAAATGGGATACATTTCCTCGCCTATGAAATGAGGAGTCAAAAATGCAACCAGTGGAATGTTCACCATTTCTAGCAGAAGTCATGTCCATAATATGAGTATAAATAATCAACCATTTTCAAAGAAACCAACAGTCTCTTTCACGGATTAATATAACAGACATTGATCAAGCTGGGTAAAGAACAATCCCCAGCATTAGTGTATCACTCTGTAAAAGTGATAGAAAAAATTACCCTCCAGACAATGTGAGGCGATGTTAGAAACTAAATTTAAGAAATGGATTTGTATTAAATTATAGAATCCCTACAGTGTGGAAGCAGGCCATTTAGCCCATCAAATCCACACCGACCGTCCAAAGAGCATCCCACCCAGACCCACCCTATCCCTGTAACCCTGCTTTTCTCATGGCTAATCCATCTAACCTGCACATCTTTGGACTGTGGGAAGAAACTGGAGGAAACCCACACAGATATGGAGAGACAATTGCCCGAATCTGGAATCAAAAGCGGGTCCCTGGCACCGTGAGGCAGCAGTGCTAACCACTGAGCCGCTGTGCCACCCTAGGAGGAGTAGAAGTTTCTTTTCACTTGGATCTATGACTGGCACCAGTCTGATCCTTCTGAATTGGAGTGCATGGCATCAAAGTGGAAATGGGGAAACAGTGAGCTATTGGAGGTACTCTCTGTTGTCTCCATTAATGTGCACAATCTGCCAATACCAGTACAGATAAAGTTTGAAGAATATAAATCATAGCTACGCTGCTGCAGTTACACTTATTAGCCTGGAGTGATCAATGGTAATGTATCCATTTTCTGGTGAAAGGCTCAATGTACCAGAATAAAGGTTTTGAAAGAATCAGATAGAAGATGAAGTTATTCAAGGAACAATGATGCTGGCCTGAATTTTGAAAGTTTGTACACTGTAGAAGGCAATGTACATTGGGGATAGGTGATGAAACTTAGGGATATAGGAACATGGAACAGCAGTTAGTCACTCAGACCCTGAAGCCTATTTATCAGATCATGATTGATTTGGACCTCAACTCCATTTAGTCATCTTTGCTAAATATTGCTAGCCATCCTTGTATCTATCAAACTGAATGCCAAAAAGTACTACAATCTGCCTTCAGTAGAGGGGGAAACAGAAGAAAAAGTTCTAGATTTGTATTGTTCATTGTGTGAAAAAGTATGTCCTGATTTCACTTCAAAATAACTAGATTTAGTTTTAAGATTATAGCCTCCCTCGCGGATAGACTTTACTACATGCTTCCAAATGGTGATCCCAAGCCCGCACTTTCCAGCAGTGAGGCTGCCATCCTTAATTGGCTCCCAGTACTGCCAACCGAATCCAAAGGCCAGCATTTCTGGATGTTCTGCAGCTCCATCAGGAGAGCTAGGATCTACTGACGCAGGGGGCTCTCTTGGAGGCATGAATCAAAACCAAAAAAGTGATAATGGTTGAAGCTAGTATCCTCTCAGAGTGGAGATCAAACACCATGGGATGATATCTTTGTGCCACGGATGCAGCCTTCCCTTCTACCACTCCGTCACTGGGGCAGAGAGACTCCAGCTCTAATGGCCCCAACCCGCTGCAGGGAGGTTACCTCTAGCGACCTGGCAGCCTCTGAATGTGATGGTCGGGTGTTCTGCAGCAGCAAAACGCTGATGAGGTTGCAGAATTGCCTTTTTCTGAGGCATTAACCAGCTAAACTATGTGCTGTCTCCCTGGAGCAGACAGCCAATCCATTCGCTGCCCTTCTCCTGTAGTAGAACGCATCAGAGTACAGCCTCAACATGGGTTTTCCTTAGTTTCCGGCCTCCTTCATGCTTCCAAATCCAGCACCATTACAACCGAGAAAGTTCCACTCCGTTTCTGGATTCCTTCACCAGAGGAAATAGTGTCTCTACATCTACCCTATCGACTCCTGTAATCATTATCAATAACTTAATTAGATCACCCTCCCAATTGGTTAAACCCAAGGAAACACAAGCCAAGTCTACGCAACCTGACATTATAATATAGCCCTTTAAACCCTGGTATTGTTGTGGTGAATGTGCACCGAGCACCCCCTAGGGTTAATGTATCTTTCCTACATTCAATAACCAAAATTGAATACATTAAAACAGTGGGGCCTTAGCAAGGGTCCATAAAACTGACACATAACATCCTCTCCTTTGAGATAAAGTCTGACATTTCACGTCATTTTGAGTGGTTTTTTGTCTACAGATTTAGAGGACACTGGTGAATGAGAGAAAACTTTTGAGTGAGGATATAGGCTAACAGTATGTTCAGACAGAGGAAGAGCAAGATTTGAACATTGTCTTAAAATCCTTAAACGTTACATAAAACGTTGTGCAAAATGTCGCCAACTTTGTAAACATTTCAATGGTTAAACATGAGTCAGATATAGCACACACTTGTAATTATCCTTGCAAGAGTACTTAATATTTTTCTCCTTCAGAATCCTTTCCAATACTGCAACACTGCTGACACCACAGGATTCTCTGCAAATCAAAACATAGATGGAGTTCAGTGTAATTCCCAAAATGAATCTTAACTGCTAAAACAGTTGGTTTCATGATCTTGAAAATAAGTACTTATCAAAGCTGCCCGAAAAAGTGAAATAAAAACAAAATGTTGGAAATGCTCAGCACATTTGGCATCATCTGTGGAGGGAGAAATTGAGTCAATATTTTGAATTAAATATATTTGCTTCATGGGAAAATATATAAGTGTCTAAGACCATGCTTTTCTTGCCCCATCCCCATGACATTTCTATGTTGTTTTTGTTCTGATGGAAGGTCATCGGCCTGAAATGTGAACTTTATTTCTCTCCACAGAAGTTCCCTGACAATTGGTGCTCTTTCACTGGAGAGCTGCTGGCTACTTGATTTGATTGCAACACTCAGAGGTGTGACTGGGTCCCTGATAGAGTTGGACATCCCACTCCTGAACAATTTAATGGCTCAACAACTGCAGGCTTCCTTGTTAAGTGGAGGTGGGCTCATCTGTGAATTCTGAATTACGGGCTGAGGGTCACTGCCTCTGTGTAAGATATGGGCCCATATTCCAGTTGCAATCTGTGGGGCCATTTATATTAGGACTGGTGCAAGTTGTAATCCCTTTGACGGCGAAGCTAAGTTGGCGCCCTGTTCTCAGGCTCTTTTCAATCCAGATGTGTTATTCAGGAAGGCAATGGCCTAGCGGTATTATAGCTGGACTCTTAATCCAGAGACCCAGATAATGTTCTGGGGACCCAGGTTCATATCCCGCCACAGCAGATGGTGGAATTTGAATTCAATAAATATCTGGAATTAAGAATCTAATGATGACCGTGTGTCGATTGTTGGATAAACCTATCTGGTTCACTAATGTCCTTTAGGGAAGGAAACTGCCATCCTAACCTGGTCTGGCATACACGTGACTCCAGACCCACAGCAATGTGGTTGACTCATAACTGCCCTCAGGTCAATTAGGGATGGGCAATAAATGCTGCCTGGTTGGTGACACCTCATCCCATGAATGAGTAAAGAAAAAAAATTCTCTGGCAGGATTATGATAGCAATCAAATGCCAGTTTCCTTTTTCAGTTCCATCACTCCTCTTTATTAAATACCCATGCTCTCATCTGTCTTCTGTGCAGTAGCACAGATATAGCGGGTATCTCTCCACTTGGGGAATCTATACTGTGCCACTCAATTAGATACCAGGCTGGAAATCTAACTCGCTTTACCATTCCACTGAGCTGCAATGGAAATGGCAAAAGTACTATGTAATAAAACCTACATCATGCATGCAATAAAAATTAAAAGACTTACTTATCAGGACCATTAATATTGTCCATGATCCAGAGTTGAACAAAGGTAATTCACTTATTGTCTAGTTTTCCAAGTTCAATTTCTCCAAAAATGCTAGTGACAATAAAGAAAGACATAATCAGTCAAATAAAGTCAAAATAGTAATGTAATCAATAAGAATATTGATAGGATATTCAGCGGAACAATAGTTTAAGTTGAAGCAACTGATTAATTGATGCATAACTTTCAACTCCAAATTCTGTTATGCACCATAAATTCCTTTTATAATAATGCCAAAGAAAATAAATATACATGCCACAATGAACATTTAATGTTCAAATAGTTTAGTATAATTTACTTAAGTCTTTAAAGTCAATATTGCCATGAGGGTATCCATGACCTGTTTAAAGATGCATTTCAAGTTAAGACCCTACAATAGTCTTATCCTTGAGTATTTACTACATTTGGAAAATATAACATTGCATTTGACCTCAAAGTACTTCTATGCTGGTTCATCAAAAACCCCATCTCTAATGCACACAAACATACACACCCACTGCTCACAAATATCTTTCTGATTGCCAACACTGTCATTTTCACATTTTCGGATAATTGTGATGATGGTAAAATTGGCAGGAACAGAAGATGAATACAACACTTGCTATCCAACCTTGCTTCCTGGCTTTGAATTCTCCAGTGGAAAATGGATCTGGAGCTGTTGAAAATTGAAACTAGGCAAAAATATGTTGTGGACAAAAACAGAAGTCGCTGGAAAAGCTCAGCAGTTCGAGCAGCATCTGTGAAGAAAAAAAATCAGAGTTAATGTTTTGGGTCCGGTGAAGGGTCACTGGACCAGAAACGTTAACTCTTGATTTTTTTCTTCACGGATGCTGTTAGACCTGCTGAGCTTTTCCAGCAACTTCTGTTTTTGTTTCTGATTTACAGCATCCACAGTTCTTTCGGTTTTCAAAAATATGCTGTGTTACCTTGTCTTGCCCTGTTGCAAGTGAGGTCACCAATCAGATTTACACAATCACATGTAAAGACTATCTGGTAGCAACATTGAATTACAAGGACACAAATAATCTTGGGTATTGCTGCAAACAGGCTAACATGAAAAATAACCAAGACACAATGTTTCTTTTGTGTAAACTTCCAGAACAGACCTGTTCAACAAGGGTCTGTTTCTTGAGGAAAGCCAATTTCACAATTAACATTTCTAGACAGGATACCAATTTATTTCCCAATTAATTTCAAATAGAAGATAAAATGTAATATCTGGTGCTGGCATTGGAAATAGTTGGCAAGTAAACTATTTCTACTTGTTATGGCAACGTTGGTCATAAGGCACTTTGACTTTGGAAACTTTTCATTTGTGTTACAGAAGTTATCTTGTTATAAACATTATGTTATCAATGAATATTTACACACTCTCCCTTTCTAGACTATATGTACCCCCAAAATGATAAAGGTTTGTAAGTTAAGAGAGGTTTATCACATTGACTACATAAGACTACCTGAGAAGTTGTGACTCTAGATAAGGGTTACTTTATCTCATCTCAAATTTTAGGAATCTACTTAGCATTACCTGAAATATCTAATATAGATTTGCAATAAAGACAAGAAGTAGTGTTATCACTGTGAAATGCACCATTAAGCCACCCCTTGACATTCAATGGTGTTATTATCACTGAATTCCACACTATCAACATCCTTGTGATTACCATTGGCCAGAAAGTCACTTGGACTCACCACATTAACACAGTGGCTACAAAAGCAGGTCAGAGTCTAAGAGTACTGTTGTGAGTAGCCCACCTTCTGATTCCCCAAAGTCTGTCTACTAGCTACAAGGCACAAGTCAGGAGTGTGATGGAATGCTCCCCACTTGCATGGATGGGTGCAACTCCAACAACTGTCAAGAAGTTTGACACCATCCAGAACAAAGCAGCCCACTTGACTGGCACCATATCCAAAACATCTATTCCCTCTACCAATGATGCTCATTGTCAGCGGCATGTACTACCTATAAAATGCACTGCAGAAATCCACCAAAGATCCTTAGACAGCTCCTTCCAAACTCTCAACCAATTCCATCCAGAAGGACAAGAGCCAAAGATACTAGGGAACACTACTGTCTGCACGTTCTTCTCCAAGCCACTCACGGTCCTAGCTTGGAAGTACATCGTTGTTCCTCAACTGTTGCTGGGTCAAAATCCTGGAATTCCCTCCCTAACAGCATTGAGGGTCAACCCTCAGTAAATGGATTGCAGAGGTTCAAGAAGGCAGCTCAGCACCAACTTCTCATGGGCATCTAGGGATGGGTAGAAAAATACTGGTCAGCCAGCAATCACTATGTCCCATGAGTGAATAAAAAAAATTATATGTAAAATCGGTCCCCATCTTTCTTCAGGTTAATTGCTTATTCACATTTGAGTGATAGTCCCTTTTTGGATCAGGACTCTTATTGTCTGCCCACAACCTTGGTGGGAGACCTGTGGAAGCCATACAGAAAATGCCCATCTGCACCATTTATCTAGTGTCTCCACCAAATGTCTATCAAAGTTCACAGAAATTCTACCATGTCATATTCCAAAGCAGAATTCTGTCATGTTGATATTGGTACTGTACCTGTTATTCCTGAAGGTTTCACCATAAGCAGATCCATTCAGCATCACTGTTACTTCTCCTTGTGCCCTCATGGCATACTGTGAAGTGCAATGCATACAATTACTTGTCTACCATCTAACTAGTCAAGTTCAATCAAAACCATAAGCATCATTTTCCTTCTGAACAAATAATAAAGCCTTGGTTTTACCCAATAACTGGATGCCTACACAGGTCAGCTAGGTATAAACACTGATTGGGTTTTCATTTGTGAAGTGTTGTCACTTTGTTTCCAACCATCACCCATAACTCTGTGCAGAGTTAGAAGGGTAACTCACCTTGACTATCCAGGATCCTACGTATAGGTCCCTGGCTTTTTCTTACCACCTTTCTTAAATAGTGGCATCTCACCTGTGGTTATCAATGATGCAATGATTCAGTAATCAGTTCCCTAGCTTCCATAGAGTGCCAGGGTACACCTGATTAGGTCCCAGGGATTTATCCACCCTTATGTGTTTTAAGACATCCACCTCCTCTGTAATATGGACATTTTTAAAGATGTTGCTATTTAGTTCCCCACGTTCTATATCTTGCATATCCTTCTCTACAGTAAACACTGATGCAAAAAATTCATTTAGTATCTCCCACATCTTCTGTGGTTCCATACATAGGCGACCTTGTTGATCTTTAATGGTCCCTATTCTCTCCCATTTTACTCTTTGGTCCTTCATGTATTTGTAGAATCCTTTGAATTCTCCTTAACCCAGTTTTCTCCTTAACCCTCCCCAAGGGGAGATGATGGCCTAGTGGTATTATTGTTGGATTGTTAATCCAGACAGCCAGAATACTCTCAGGACCCAGGTTTGAATCCTGCCCATGGCAGACAGTGGAATTTGAAGTCAATAAAATATCTGGAGTTAAGAGTCTAATGAGGACTGTGAATTCACCATCAATTGTTGGGAAAAACCCATCTGGTTCACTAATATCATTTAGGGAAGGAAACTGCTATCCTTATCTGGTCTCGCCTACATGTGACTGCGGACCTACAGCAATGTGGTTTACTCTTAACTGCCTTCTGGGCAATTAGGGATGGGCAATAAATGCTCCCTAGCCAGCAACGCCCATATCCTGTGAATGAATAAAAAAAAATTGCCATGTCCCCTTTTTGCCCTCCTGATTTCCCTCTAAGTATACTCCTACTGTCTTTATACCTTTCTAGGGACTCCCGCAATCCCTGCTATCTATACCCGATATATGCTCCTTCTTTTTTCTTGACCAAAATCACAAATTCCGTTGACTTCCGACATTCCCTACACCTACCAGCCTTGCCTTCACCCTAACATACTGTCTCTGGACTCTTGTTATCTTATATTTGAAGGCATCCCATATTCCAACTGTGCCTTTACCTGCAAACATCTGTTCCCAATCATTTTTTGAAAGTTCTTGCCTAATACTGTCAAAATTGAAGCTGAAAGAACTGTGGATGCTGTAAATCAGGAACAAAACAGAAGTTGCTGGAAAAGCTCAGCAGATCTGGCAGCATCTGTGAAGAAAAGCTCAGAGTTAACATTTCAGGACCGGTGACCTTTCCTCAGAACTGTCAAAATTGATATCAGTGGTGGGCAAGTTGTTGGAGGCAGTCCTGAGGGACAGGATATACATGTATTTGGAAAGGCTAGGACTGATTAGGGATAGTCAATAGGACTTGTGCGTGGGAAATCGTGTCTCACTAATTTGATTGAGATGTTATGAAGAAGTAACAAAGAAGATTGATGGGGGCAGGGTGGCAAATGTGATTTATATGGACTTTAGTAAGGTGTTCAACAAGATTCTTCATGGTAGGCTGCTTAGCAAGGTTAGATCACATGGAATATGGGTGAACTAGCCATATGGATACAGAACTGGTTTGAAGGGAGAAGGTTGCTTCTCGGACTGGAGGCCTGTGACCAGCGGTGTGCCATAAGGATCGATGCTGCTTTTCATCATTTATATAAGTGATTTAGATGTGAATATTGGAGGTATGGTTAATATGTTTGTAGATGACACCAAAATTGGAGGTGTAGTGGACAGTGAAGAATGTTACCTCAGAGTACAACAGGATCTTGATCAGATGGGCCAATGGGCTGAGGAATGGCAGAAGGTGTTTAATTTAGATAAATGAGATGTGTTGTATTTTGGAAAGGCGAATCAGGGCAGGACTTTTACACTTAATGATAAGGTCCTGGGGAGTGTTGCTGAACAAAGAGACATTGGAGTGCAGGTTCATAGTTCCTTGAAAGTGGAGTCACAGGTAGACAGGATAATGAAGAAGGCATTTGGTATGCTTGCCTTTATTGCTTAGTGCATTGAATATAGCAGTTGGGAGGTCGTGTTGTGACTGTACAGGACATTGGTTAGGCTACTTTTGGAATACGGCATGCAGTTGTGGTCTCCCTGCTATAGGAAGGATGTTGTGAGGCTTGAAAGGGTTCAGAAAAGATTGGCAAGAATATTGCCAGGGTTGGAGTGTTTGAGCTTTAGGGACAGGCTGAATAAACTGGGGCTAATTTCCCTGAAGCGTCGGAGCCTGAGGGAGTGACCTTATAGAGGTTTATAAAATCATGAGGGGCATGGATAGGGTGAATAGCCAAGGTCTTTTCCACAGAGTGGGGGAGTCCAAAACCAGAAGGCATAGATTTATGGTGATTGGGGAAAGATTTAAAAGGGACCTATAGGGCAACGTTTTCATGCAGAGGGTGGTGCTTGTATGGAATGAGCTGCCAGAGGAAGTGGTGGAGACTGGTACAGTTACAACAGTTAAAAGGCATCTGGATGCGTATATGAAAAGGAAATATTCAGAGGGATAAGGGGCCACATGCTGGCAAATGGAACTAGATTAATGTAGGACATTTGGTTGGCATGGATAAGTTGGATCGAAGGGTCTGTTTCCGTGTTGTACAGCTCTATGACTCTACTTAAGAAGTAAGAACTATGGCCTAATGATGTCATCAGTACTGTGCAGAGGAGGTCATTCAGCCCATTGTGTCTGAGCATTTTAACTTTGTGCCTACAAACCCTTGCACATTATTTAAATAGAATGATCATCCAATGCCTTCTTGAATGCCTCAAATGAACCTGCATCCACCATACTTCCAAGCAGTGCATTTCATACTCTAACTACTCACCTCACATTTGATTCTTCTGCAGAACACTTTGAAACTGTGATTCCTGATCAGTTTGTAAGAAGAAACAGTTTGTCCCTGTCCACGCTGTCTAGGCACGATATCATTTTAAAACTTCTATCAATTCTCCTCCTAGCCTTCCCCTCTCTAAAGAAATAAGTGCCAACCTCTTCAATCTATCATCATAACTGGAGTCAATTACCCCTGGAACTATTCCGGTAAGTCTCTTCTGCACTCTCTCCAACACATTCACTTTCTTCCCATAGTATGACACTCAGAATTGTACATAATAATCCAGCTGAGGTCTAACTCATGACTTATGATGAACACACACATATATATACACACATATATACATACATATACAAACTTCCCACATTTGTACTCTATGCCCTAACTTAGAATACTGTATGCTTTAGTAACAGCTCTGTCTACCTGCCTTCCCTTTACAATTGTACCCTTCGTTTTATATTATCTGACCATATTCTTTCTACCGAAGTGTGTCATCTTGCACTTCTCTGAATTTATGTTCATTCTGTCCAGCCACACAACCAACATGTCCTCTTCGCACTTTACAAATTTTCCTGAGATTTGTGCCATTTGCAAACTTGGAAACTGTTCCCTGCAGAACAAGATCTATACTATTGGTAATAGGGAAAAGTAAGGGTCCCAATACTGTGGGACTCTAGTACAAATCTTCTTTCAGTCCAAAAAATATCTAGCACTCTGTTTCCTATTCCTCAGCCAATTTTGTATCCATATCGTTACTGCCTCTTTTATTCTATGACCTATAACTTTACTCACAAACCTAATGTGTGGCAAAGTACCAAAAGTGTTTTGAAAGTCCAAACTTGCCAGCATTTGGCAGAGTGGCCAAGGCAGGTTTTTAAAGAATCCTTTGGTTAGGCTTTCCTCTGGCCCTACAAGCAGTTTTTTGATCTCCCCGACAAGGGGCCTTGTATCTGTCTCTTGTCTTCCAACGTTCCTTGGAACATCTTCTCCCAGCATTTAGTTATATTGCTCTTCATGGCCCTTGGCCAATGGCAACACATGGGTCATAGTACAATTCCCGTTCCTACCAGCCGTGGAATTACTGCCCCAACCCTGTTTCTGATTGGAAATAGACTAGAGTAATTAAATCGAGGCCGAGGAGATAAAATAATCCCCCAACACTGAATGCTTCAACAGGATTTCCCTCCTGTTCCATATCCTCACTGTACCCAAATTAGAATTAGGATTAAAGCTAGTTTCTACAGTTTACCAGCTATTTTTCCTTATATGACACTTTTTATTTTAAAATGCTGTTCTTTTCTCTTAGTTTCATCCCAAGCTTCATCCTTGAAATAGCAGAAATGTTTAATGTCTTTCTTTTATGCCCTTATTATTCTCACTTTAAGTCTAATTTTCTTTTCTCTCTAAAGACCGTTGATTCAGGCCATTGCAAGGTCCCATGTTTGCTCAAAATAGAGACAGTACTTTATCCAGGATGACAAATGAAAATTATAACTTTGGTGGTGAGAATCATAGGGGCATGTCAATTGAACACCAATCCTGTTCACCTAATGTTCACTAATTTTGTTTACAGCAGGAAATGGTTGACATGATGATTTGCTTTCCCCTATTTAGTTTAGGCAACATTCTTGTAATGTCTACAACCCAGCTTCCACTGCTGTTCAGGGATGCCTCATAAAATCAGAGGGTTTCAGTCACGTCAAAGCTGGTAATTATACAGCTATGCTGCATGATGAAAGAACAGGATTGGTGGTTTCTAAATGAAATTGAAATGAAGAGAAGTATAATTGATGAAGTGGAGGAGGGGGAGGAATGGATCTCCAGGAATGGTCTTTTTGGTGTTCCCTCCTTTGTTGTAGAGGTTGGGTGATGGACTGCTGGGCTTTGACCACACTGATACAGGTGAGGGCTCTGGTTTTCATATTTGAGGATGTATTTTGGAACTAATACTGAAGGGGACATAGCTGGATCTTGAACTAAAAAGGTGTTGTTCCAGTGTTACCGGCCTGGAGCAATACACCACCTCATCTGAACTGTTTCAGTGAAAGAAACACTTACATCTTCAGATGCCGCCTTCCAAAATGAACGCATTGAATTGTTTTCACACTCGTTCCACCCAGGACATGCTTCAAAATTAGGTTCTGTAACAAATTAATCAGCTACAAATCAAATTATTGTACATGTAAATATCACAGGATAATGTCCAGGAGTTGCTTGTTTAATATACAGAAATTTTTTAATTGTTTTAAATGTTGACTCATTGTTTTTAAAAGAAAGACAGTAAAACGTTAAACACACAATGAGTTGCTTTGAAGAAATTTATATTAATCTCTCAGGCTTAATTTGCGGGTAGAGGTACATTTTGAGGATAATGAAGGAAGTGGGTGTGGATATTGCAGAGACACTGGTATTAGTCTTGCAATCTTCTCCAAATTCAAGGGTGATGCCAGGGAGTAGAGAATTGCAAATGTAACATCCTTGCCTCAAACAAGGTTGTAAGGATGAGCTTAGCAATAACAGCTCAGCCAAGTTTAACTTCAGTGGTAGGGAAACTCTCTTTTGCAGACAGCAATATGAGCTGAATCAATCAGTATTTATAAAACATGTCACAAATAGTGCAAAAACTCATTGTTAGAAAATATTTAGTGGCTGTTTTAAAGGCAAAAATGGCTGCTATAAACAAGTGACTGGATTTAGCAATAACCTTCCAGAAAGCTCTTAGAAGTTAACACCAGCCGTACAATAAACACCAAGAACCTCAAGATGGGTCTGGATTAATAACTATTGCATTATAATCTGTTATGGAAATGATAAATCTATAAAAAAAATCTCTTACACAACAGAATTACAGGTTACACCAGTCCACAACAAGACGTATTAATGATTTTGCACTTAACCTTGTAAATGGACCATAGACAGATGACTATCTGAAATGCATGCCTTTGTCTTGATGGAAATGCTTGTTTTCACCTTGAAGGATTGGTCAAATGACTGCCACAGCACGGAACCCAACTGGCCTTACAATGGTACAACTTTGAAATAGCAGCCGGTTTAGGGACCAGTACTGCAATATATAATATTTAATGACAATATCCGACACCTTAACTCTGAGCCACAATGGAAGGAAGCCTTTGTGTAAATAAACTGTCTCTGTCAAATATGTGAAACAGAAATTACAAATGAGCAAAACTTACTCCAAAGACTTTGGGAGGGAATTTTAAAGAGAAGAAAGTGACATATACATCAACTATGGGCTAGCAAATCAACCCGCCTGCACAGAGGAATTCCAGACTACTAGCTCCAACCTTGGACATTATCTTGAAAGCAAGGACATTGATAGATAAAAAGCATGTGAGATTCAAGGTGTTACTAACTGAATAATCTTTTTATCTTTTCCATTTATCTATTTCCTTGTATGTTTTTAAGCATGCTTTTGTTGTGGAGAAACCCCCAACCCTGCATCGAAGAATATGTGAAATAAACCCTACTACTTTTCTCACTTTACTATAGTGTTGTCGCAGTCCTTACAAAGTCAGAACTCATAAACACAGAGTGGACTTACCACTGCTTAAAAAGGAGAAAAATCAAGTCATAATCTGCTTATAGATAGTTAGTGAGAATAGGGAAAGATTTGTTTTAAAACTTACAATTTGTCACTAACAAAAACCAGATTTTGTCTCTCTTGTTAGTCAAGGAGCAAAGAAATTAAAAGGTAGGCAGGAAAGTGGAGTTCAGGCCAAAATCAGATTAACCATGATCTTACCAAGTGGTGGAACAGATCGATGGGTTGAGTGGCCTACACCTGCTCCAAATTCTTAAGTTTGTATATGGATATGTTCAAAATGGATGGGGGCTAGATATTATAGGCAATTCATGCTCTGTCAGAAGGGGTGTGATTACTCACTTGAGCTGGAGAGTTTTCCGCACCAGTTCAGGCCGTCCACCATATAACCAATCAGAGTGCTCTCAAGAGGCACCACCTTGTGTGTAACATCAGTGTACTGAAGGATGAGCCTTTTGGTCTGGCTCCAGAAGATTGACTACATGGCATAAATGCAGTTACTATATTAAAGTCTCAGCAGTGTTATTGAAATTCAAAAGAAACAACATGCATATCAAAAAGGATTTAAGATTGCACCATTGGATTATTATATGCTGGGGTTTTCATCCTTAAAATGAACTTTTATATTAAAAAAAAGCAGCAGGTAAATACTTTATGAAATTTACTAGTCTATCTGCTTATTCAATAAAGATGGGGTGTTCAGAGCTGACATGTTATTCAGACACTTGTGGCTTGCTCTATCACTCAGGGATCCACAACAAGCAACCAAGAGGTGCCTCTGGCAAATAGATTTAAAAGCTCATTAAAATGAGTTGGTAAAACAATCTTTAAGGGATCCACAGAATGTGGATCCACAGATAATAGAATACATGGTCTAGATTTTGTCTTTATGTGATAACGTAAAAAAGGCAATAAAGAATCATTATACAACAAGGTGTAGAGCTGGATGAACACAGCAGGCCAAGCAGCATCAGAGGAACAGGAAGGCTGACATTTCGGGTCTAGACCCTTCTTCAGAAAAAACAATTCCTACCCAAGGAAGTGGAATGCTTGGTCTGTCCTGGTAAAAATCCAGAAAGGCTTGATCCTGAGTGTCTTGATGGGGTACTTGGGGTCCTGTACCATACCCTTTACTGACCCCTGAAAAATAGCAACCAGCAGCAGAAGTGGGATCAAAAACAGAAGTCGCTGGAAAAGCTCAGCAGGTCTGGCAGCAT